CTGAATAAAAATTCTATTAACTTAGAATTCTGTTAAATAAAAATTTGTTAGAATGAAATGTCTATTAAATAAGAATTCGGTAAAATTCGTTTTAAAGAAAATTCTCTTAACTAAAAATTCTTGAGAAATAATATTTTGGTTAAATAAAAATTAATTGAAATACAGTGAAGTAAATATTATTCAAAAATTCGTGTGCAATAAAAAATACTATTTGAAATTCTGTTGCATAAAAAATTAAAAATTAGTTGATATTCGGTTGAATAAAAATTATTTCAAAATTTGGTTCATTAAAAATTAATTGAAATTCGATTAAGTAAAATTTATTTGAAATTCGGTTAAATAAAAATTACTTGCAATTCAATTAAATAAAAAATAGTTGAAATTCTGTTAAATGTAAAAAATAATTGAAATTCAATTAAACAAAAATGATTTAAAATTAATTCAAAATAAAATTTCTCTCCTTCAATTCAAATAATAAAAAAGAATTATTATTTTCTCTCGATGAAAAAATTTCATGAAGTTGAAATAATGAGGAAATTATTTGATATTTAAATTATTATCCATTGTTCAGTGGAATCTATACAGAGTTACATAGCTTTGTACACACACACACACATTCACTGTAAATAAAGTGTTGATGAAAGGAAAAAGTGATTATTTTCATGAATGTAAAAATGCGCAAATCTAATATATTTGATTGGCATATATGGAGAAAATACTTGGAATATTGTATGGTTTTCATATATAGAAAGAATTGAAATTTTTTTTCTTCTTTTTTTGAATTGAATTACTGAAAAGTCATTGCGGTTATTGTGCAATTTATTTATTTATTTCTTTTTTTTTCTCTATATATATTTAAGCGTTTATTATTGAGAAGCGATAGGCAATATAAAACGAATCTCATTACCATTCCTTCCGCGAAGTTCGTGAATATGAACGACCCGTTACTAAATATGAAAGGAAAACATTTCAGTCTCTTAAACGTGGAATTTTCATTTTTTCTATTTTCCCAAATGTCGATAAGAATTCCTCTTCACTTGTGAGAATATATAATTGATGATGACGAGTTAATATAAATTAAATATTTTTATCATTCACTCGAAAATATTTTATGCTATATTTGGACAGAAGTTTCTCTACGTATTAGCAGCATATGTGGATAATAACAATAATAATTGAAAAAATAATTTATAATAATTGAAAATAATAGTAATAATAAAAAATCAGTATACGTGTAAATAAATAAATAAAATATGTAAATAATAATAATAATTAAAAATAATAGTAAATTAATAACAATAGTAAAATTATTATTTATTTATTTACAACGCAAATTTACAATCTTTATAAATAAATAAAAATAAAACTCAATTCAGGCTTTAGGCTAAAAGATACTTTTTTCTATGTTGCGAACATTCAATTATTTTTATAAATAATTATATTTTCACAGGAATTCAAATTCATTTAAAAAACAATTATCAAAAGAAAATTGCAAAAAATCAATTATTAACAAAGATTTTTATAAAATTCTTTGCAAGAATTCATTTATTTTTAATAAATAACAAAATTCTTCTCAGGAATTCAATTATTTGTAATAAATAATAAAATTCTTCTCAGGGATTCAATTATTATAACAAAATCCTTCTCAGAAATTCAATTATGTGTATAAATAATAAAATTCTTCTCAGGAATTCAATTATTTTAAACAAATACTAAAATTTTTCTCAGGGATTCAATTATTATAACACAATCCTTCTCAGAAATTCAATTATGTGTAAAAATAATAAAATTCTTTTCAAGAATTCAATTATTATAAATAAATAACAAAATTTTTCTCAGGAATTCAATTATTTTAAATAACTGACAAAATTTTTTTCGGGAATTCAATTATTATAAATAAATAACAAAATTTTTCCCAGGAATTCAATTATTATAAATAAATAACAACATTTTTCTCAGGAATTCAATTATTTTAAATAAATGACAAAATTCTTCTCAGGAATTCAATTACTTTAAATAAATAACAAAATTCTTCTGAGGAATTCAATTATTTTAAACAAGTAACAAAATTTTTCTCAGGAATTCAATGATTTGTAATAAATAATAAAATTCTGCTCAGGAATTCAATTATTTTTAAAAAATAAATAAATAACAAAATTCTTCTCAGAAATTCAATTATTTGTAATAAATATTAAAATTCTTCTCAGGAATTCAATTATTTAAAATAAATAATAGAATTCTTCTCAGAAATTCTATTATTTGTAATAAATTATAAAATTTCTCTCAGTAATTCAATTATTTTTAATAAATAAAAAAATTCTGCTCATGAATTCAATTATTTTAAATAAATAACAAAATTCTTTTCAGGAATTCAATTATTTTCATAACTAATAAAACTCATCGCAGGATTTTTAATATTTTTAATACAATTTTAAATGAATTCCTCAAAAAATGCAATTATTCTTAAATATTTTATTAAAATTCTTCAAAATAATTGAATCATTCAAACAAATTTTGACTCAATTTGTTTATTAGAATTTAATAATTATTTTCAATACATTTTTTTTTAAATTTTTTGAAAGAATTTAATTATTTTCAAAAATTTTAATGAAATTCTTCGTAACAATTCAATTAATTTTCAATAAATTTTAATAAAATTCTTCTCGTAAAAATTTAATTAATTTCAAAAATTAGTCGAAATTCTATTATTTTCAATATCTACGATTTGAATTAAATATCCCAAAAGAATTAAATTATTTTAAAGAAATTATTGTAAAATACAAATAATTTTTAAACTTGTAATTTGAAATAAAATGATTAAAGTTTTGAATAATTTTATTTTAAAAATTTCAATAAAAAAAATGATTGAATTTTTGAAGAATTGCAGTTGTAATTTTGGGAAATAGTTAAATTTCAAAAATGCGTTACATTGAAATTATTTTAAATATATTTTAAGTCATGTGGAAAAATAAGTAGGAATTTAAATATTTATTTGAAAACAAATTTTTCTATTTTTGAATGTATTAATTTATAAATTTTGAAAAAATTGAGTCGTCTTTAATTTTAAAGAAAATAAAGAAAAATCATAATAAATAGAATAAAACATTAACCAATAAATACGAATTCTTTCTATGAATAATTATTTGTTCAATCATCTGATAGATAATTATAATAAATTAATTAATTATTATAATGAGGATATAATTGGTCAATGATAATAATAAAAATTAAAAAAATTAGAAACAATTTTTAATGAATAAATTAAATTTATGTGCGAAATGAACTTTTTATTGCTTATTTTCATATGACAGTTAGGCGTGTGTTTTAAGCGAAAGTATAAAAAATGAAGCAAGGTCAATTGCCCTGGAATTAATGAGTGTGATGATAATTAGGTACTTGTAAATGTCAAACGAAGGCACCATGTAAAAATACTTAAATTCAAATTTTTTTATTTATTTTGAAAAGTAGCTTTTTGCAAAGAAACTAAACGAAAAAAAAATTATATTATTGTCGATAACGAGCATGAGAAACAGTTACTGTTTAATTAAATGATATTAAATTGCTTAATTAAGTTATATTAATTATATTGTCAACTTTAATAATAACAATAATTAATTTCTTTACTTTAAAATTTTTAATTTTATTTCTTACTCAAATTTATGTAATTAAATTTAATTAATTTAATTAAGTTAATTAATTTGAGAAAATAATTTTTTGATTCTGCTTTTGAAAATTTAAAACATTGAGAAAAATGACAATTGGAAATGTTTTTTTGGAATTTCTAATTCCTTTTTTATAAAAATATAAATAAATATAAATATTTAGTAATATTTGGTAAACTAATTATTTAAAAAAATACAATAAATAACCAACGTTTATTAAAAAAATATCTAGATAAAATTATTCACTATTTTTTTGACGAAAAAAAAGATAAAATTCTGGTATGAAAATTCCATTCTGAATTCGATGCTATAAACAATTTGTTAATAACTTTGAAGAATTACCTTGTTCTTTAAATTAATTTCCCTTTTTTATCTAATGTTTAATTTTATTTTAATATATTTATTAACATTTGTTATGAATTATCTATTATATATTGTTATTATTATTAAATAAATTAATATTCCTTTCTTGTTTTAACTTTCAACGTTAATTTTGTTGTATAAGCAGATAAACACATTCACTGACACTTTACTTCACACATTTTTCAGAAAAAAAATTATTTTTTAAACTAAATAATTAACACTTGTTTATAACGTAATGTAATTCAGAGTAGGGAAAAAAATACAAATTCTATTCATTTGACTATATCATTAACCGGAAATGAGTTTGAGGAGATTTGAAATTGTAATGGAATACGAGAAAGTGCGAATTGAGAATGCAACCGATATATCGCACGGACATGCAGGTACTAATTATTGTTCACGTTTAGCCGCGGGTAAAGTGCGAATGAATGCAAACTTTTCAGTCTTCTCGAATCAGGCTCACTACTCCCATCACTTCATTTGCTTAAAGAAAAATGAACGAAAAAGGGAGAAAAAAATTTTTTATTTTATTTAGAACAAAACAAAATTATTCCTGCATTAATAATTTCGAGTTATTATTACTCTATAGGAAATAAATAATAATTTTCAAAAAAAATGTAAAAATTGAAAAATAAATTTTGAAAATTGAAAAAAGAAACGAAAAAAAAGCTTCGTTTATAATAAATATTTATTTTTGATTAATAACAAAGAAAAAGAAGTCAGTATGTATATATTTTTACTAATTTTTTTTATGTAAAATTGAATAATTTTCATTGAGTAATTCTAATATTTTTTCTAAAAAATTTTGTTGAAAATATTATAGAAAATTTTGGAGATTATTAATTTCAATAATGTTGAATTTTCAAAAAGAATAGAGACAAAAGTTAAATTCATATTCTAAGAAAAGGTTTAATGACCCCTAGGTATAGTTATAAAACTTGAAATGTTCTATCCATAATTGTAATTGTTTACTTCAACGACATTGAAAGTACGAAATTATTATTGAGCCCTTTCCCCACCTTTACTTTCCTTGCGGTCAATAGAGTTCCCCTTCTGTCAGTGTGAAATAATATTATACAAAACTAAAAACCAACCAACCAAGCATTATCTTACATTGACAGTACAGCAATAGGTAAATGAATAAATATTTCTCCAAGTAAATTTATATATTTTTGATATAGTTTAAATAAATTATAAAAATATCTCAAATAAATAAAATGTAATTTCATCTATTTTACAGAATACGCAAGAATTTTTCAAAGAGCAACCCATGTCCGGAGATGGAAATTGATGTTGATTAGCCTGGTCGTCCATAAAAGGAAGGGTAAGTAAAAAAAATAATTTTTTTAAATATTGTAATTAATGCACTACTTTAATTATTCTTTTATTCAATAATTTTTTTTAGTTTTTAAAAATTTTAAACAAAGAATTATTTTTTATAAATTATATTTTTAATTTTATTCCTATACTTTTATAAACTAAATTATTACTATTAATTTTACATAATGTATTTATTTGTACATAAGTCAAAGAATAATTATTTGTAACAATATTGATTACTAATTAACATTTAAATTAAAAATTAAGAAAAATTATTTAACAGAACAAAATAATAAATTAATGATAAAATAATAATAATAATATTAAATTTGAAAGAAGTTAACAAATTAATTCATTCATTCATTCATTTCCTTCAATTCAATAACAACAATAATTAATAAAAGTATTTAATTTGAATATATTGAATTCATAAAAAGAGAAAATGTGATTAGTTTTCGCAAATCATTTCTTTGCAACTCTAGATGTAGGAATTAAATAAAAAAATGTATACTTTTGTCTTATCTATAATGAAATAAAATTTATTGCAGAGACATTTTTCTGCTGGTCCATCATTGATATGAAACAGCTAGGAATCTACAAATCATAATTTCGCGAGTACATATTATTGCATGAAGATATCTTCGCACATTGTTAATAATGTTAGTTAAATTTAAAACAATTTGTAATGCAAATTATTTAGATAGGGATATTGAAACAAAAAATGTTTATATTAACTAGGAAATTACAAAAATAAGTTTATAGTTGTAAGCAAAATACAATAGTTTAAGCTCAAGAGGATTCAGCATCAACTTCATGGAAAAAGTCTTCTCATCAAGGATGAGGGGTAAGTCAACAAATTCAAATATTTTATTTTCCTCGGTAACATTTATTGAGTTTCATTAATGTCGACTACTGTACATTATTATAAACAATAATTATTCTTTATATTTTTTTCATAATCAATAACATTTTCTTGAGTCTATTAAACATTCCTAAACTTTTTAAACCCTTCTATATTGCTTTTAAACACATTTTTTCATTAAATTAAAAAAAATAAAACATTAGTGTCCACTACTGTACATTATTGTAAACGATAATTATTGTTTATATTTTTTCCTAATTTAGTAGCATTTTATGTGTTCCCAAAAAAATTGAGGACACTTCGTACCCTTCTACATTTTTTTAAAATGAGATCTTTCTCTTTAAATTCATAAAATTCGAAAATTAATGTCCACTACTGTACATTATTGTAAACAAAAATTATTCTTTATATTTTTTCCTGATACGGTGACATTTTCTGTGTTTCCAAAAAAATGTAGATTCCTTTGTAACCTTCTACATCTTTTAAAATAAAATTTTTCTTCTTAAAATCAAAAAATTCGGACATTAATATCGACTACTGTACATTATTATAAACAAAAATTCATACACTCAAAAAAAATGTTTTATTTAAATCTAAAAATCTAATAATTAATCTAATAATTAAAATTATTAGAAAAATACCACTAATTGAAAATAGTATTTAAAATTACAAAAATTCTAGCAATTTATTTTAATTATTTTTTTTATTCATTGCGTTTTTTTAATTCTTCTAATTGTGAATTATTTTATATATTATTTTTCTTTATTTCCATTACTACATTATTTAAAATATTTTAATTAATAATTTATTTACTTATTCAAAAGTTAAAAGATAAAAATCAATTTTTTTAATTATAACTTTTTTTATTTAATATTGATACATTATTTTAAATATTCTAATTAATAATTTATTTACTTATTCAAAAATTAAATAATAAAAAATGATTTTTTGTATAATGATTTTTTTATTTAACAATCCTTACTATTAGTTATCAATTATTTAGGAAATAAAAAACATTCTTTTTTAATAAAAATATTATATTAAATCTCATAATTATAATGTTAATTTTAGTAAAATTCTTTATAATAGCAATTTAAAATTTATTAAAAAAAAATATTTTCAATAAAAAATTATTAAATTTCCTATTTTTTAAAAATTAATGTCCACTGCTGTACCTTATTTCGAGCAGTAATTACCATTCACAATTTTTTTCATACTCAGAAATATTTAATGAGTTTGTAAAAAAATTATGGCTGTTTCCTAGCCAATAGATTTCTTTTAAATTAGATGTTTTCCTGAAATTTCTATTTTTCAGTTATTAATGTCCTTTCCCCCGTCTGCTTGGTAAATAATTTTCGTCTTCTATCAGAGTAGAATACAATATTTATTAGATTTATAATAATTGGAGCTACAATTTATTTGATTTTTTCATTAATATGTTTTAATCTATTTAATTATATATTGCTTCCTTGAATTAAACGTGTAGTTAGATGAAATAAATAATATTTTGTAGCTGTAATTAAAAAAATTTTAAACTTAGGAATTAATTTTAACAATTTATATACTTTTGTCTACGACTTAAATTTTTTTCACAGAGACATATTTTTTTGGAGTCATCGAAGAGAAGTCTACAACGAAACAAGAGTCGAAAGAAGACACCGTCACGTGATTGAAAAATGTTTTAAAAATCTTCGATATCTCATGAAGTATTTAGCTTTTATTGTATTAGGAAATATTATTACTTAGCTAGGGATTTTGAAACTAAAAAAATACAATTGTATTAGCTAGAAAATTATCAAAGTATGTAAGTAGTTTTAAGCAGAAAACAACATTTTTTATTCTTCAAGAGGATTCATCATCCGGCGTCAACTTTATCTCAACATTAAGGGGTAAGTCAAAAATAATATTTTATTATTCTTTATCTTATCCTACACCCAGAAAATGTTTTATTTAATTTAAAAAGTCTATTAACTTTATTCTTTACTTTAAAAAAATTATTTTAAATTAATTTAAATAAAATCGTTTTAATATTTCTCACTAAAAAAGATTTTTAAAGGAAAAATTTTATTCAATGAAGATTTTTTTTTAATTACATATTACTTTCTTCTTTTTTCTAATAATAAGACTTTACTGTATGATGTCTGCTATCTGAAAGCGCCATTTTGGTGCATTTTTAATAAAAATTGTTCTAATCTCTCTCTAAATTTGAATCAAATGAAACCTATTGTTTTGAATGAAAAAAATTCATTATCAGAAGTATTAAAAGTTCGACATATGATTTTATAAATAACAATACTTAAAGAATCTGCTTTTAATGAAACAACAGCTGGGTGTAGGTTTTAGTTTAAACAGTAGTTAGTATTTATTGTGCACCAATGACACATGCTTCTAAAAATTGAGAAATCACTGACCGTTGGACACCCTGTTAAATTTAGACTTTGGGCAAGTTAAATTTATTTCAATTAATAAACCGTCAATTGAAACGAAAGTTAATCTATAAGTTTAAAACATTTAAATTAGTCGAATTTAAAAGTTTAAAAATAATTATAAAAATTTAATATTCTGAAGTTTGAAAATAAATTGAAATATCATTTTCTCAATTTTTAGAAATATTAAAAATTCATAGTAGATTATATATTTTTATTGACAAAAAAATTAGTGCGTACTTTCGTCGTGCCAAAAAAAAAAGATTTCCAGAAATTGCAAAAAAAATAGTACTAAACCTTCTCGTAAGTTATATTTTACAAATTTTGCAAATTTTTAAGTACAAATATTCTGTTTTTAAATTTTAGTAATTAATTTAAATAATTCCATTTTCTTAATTAAATTTTTTATTCATTTCCTTTAACTTTTTCCTTAATTTCGTTATTAATTTATTCGTTTTTTAATTGTGTATTAATTTTAATTCACATTTTTTCTCATGCAACTTAGACGTATTATGGTCACTTTATCTACCTGTACCTTTATTGACCGCTCGCTGGTCAATGAAGTACCCATTATGACCCTAGGGTAATAATGGTATTGACCAGTGGGTTATATGGGAAAACTTAGCAAGCAACGGCACAGGTAGACTATAATACGCCTTTGTTGCATAATGTAAAGTATGCAACATGCATCCAGAGAAAAGATATATTTGGCTCAGAACCAACTAGACTTTTTATTTGTTTCAGATAAATTTTATTTGGTTTAAATAAAATTTTATTTGGCTCAAATATATTTTATTTACGTCGAATAAAATTTTAATTTGAAACAAATAAAAAGTCTAGTTGGTTCTGAAAGAAATATAAGTTTATTTAACTCAAATAAAATATATTTGGTTTAAATAACATTTTTCTTTGCGTGTAGGAGGTAACCTCGGCACATAAACTCGGCGAAATTACCTCCCTTGTTGCATAATGTACTATTATTTATTTACTTGATATTTATTTATGATTACTATTTTTTAAAACAAAGAAAAAAATTTGCAAAATTATATATACAAAGGGAAAAAGGTTTTAATTGCTGGTACAATTCTTAAAAATAAAAAAAATTTTATTTTAGAAAAAACTTTTATTTTACTTCTTAAAAAAGTACATTTTCTTGTAATTCTTCTGTCTTGTTAAATTAACGTAAAGAACTGTTGTCGAACCAAAGGTAGCATCAGACTTGAACCATCTAGAAACAGAAAATAGACGAAGTTTAGTAATTAACAGGTAGATAGAATTTTATTGATTTTATTGTTAATTGAACGGCACGCATATAAAGTTTACGCACTTTTATTTTTCTTGAGAAAAATTAAGGAAGAAGGAGAGTTGAAAATGTCTTCCAGTAAGAAACTTCAATTCCTCTTCATTCCTTATGATATTTATTGTTAAATTTGAATCTGTTAGAAGGAACAACAGTCATAATTATACATCATTGATTTCGATTGAAAGTAATTGAAATTGATGCTGTATTATTATGGCTAAAATACTTCTGATTGATTTAAATAATCGAATTTTCCTCCAACACTTTTCAACCTTAGTTCCTGAACCTCCACTCCTTTTTTTACACTGTCTGATTTTTCTATCCCCTCCCTTTCCTACTCTTACAATGGAGAGTTAGTTCTCTGTTGGTGGAAGGAGTAGTAGGAAATGGAGGGGATAGGAGAACAGGAAGTTGGCGACTTCTCTCTCTCTCCCTAGGGAGAAAAAGAAGTCGTTTCCCAAGTGGGAGAGTTTGACGACTTTCTCTTCCACTTGTGATAAATCTCCTACTATGGAGAAAACAAAGTCGTCCTCGAGGAGAGAGTTTCCGACTTCGATCTCCTCGAGTAGGGAAGTTGGAAATGACCGAGTCTTTCCACTTCTCAGTAGAAGTCGAAGTCAAGGAGAGGAGAACCACAACTTCTCTCCTTGAGAAAGAAAAAGGGGGGGGTGACGTTAATTTTTTTTTCATCTCTAGAGGTCGGTATTCACAGTGACCTTCTTACCCGTTCGACTTCTTCTGGAATTGAGAAAGTCGCCATCCCCTTTCTGAGGACGACTTCTGACTTTTCTCTCTACCTACTCAAGGAGAGTGAAGTCGACAACTTCTCTCCTTGAGGACGACTTCGTTTCCCAGGTGGGGAGAGAAAGTCGTCACACTCTCCCCTGGGAAAGGTAAGGGGAGGAGGTAATTCTCAAGTCCTTCACTAGGGAGTCTGTGAAGGAATGAGTTGGTGGAAAGACTTTCTTCGGAAAGAAGACTTGTTGCAAGTCTTTTCCACCAAAAGGAAGGGAGGGAGAACTGATGTCTGCTCTTCCATTGGTCAACAGAGACTAGCCGGTCCCCCAGGGAAAGAGACGACACTTCATCTTACTCCCAAAGAGAAACTTCTACTTCGGGAGAAGAAGTTTCCCTCTACTCCCTAGAGAGTAAGAGAAGCGCGTTTTCCCTAGGGGAGACTGAGTCCCTCCAAAGGAGAGGTGACATCAGCTCTACTAGGTAGATAGTAGATAGAGAAGTCGGTCCCCCAGGGAAAGAAGACGACACTTTGCCTTATTCGCCAGGAGTGAAGCAATTTCTACTAATTTAGATATTGCCCCACTGCCTAGAGAACAAGTAAAGTGCGTTTTCCCTAGGGGAGACTTAAAAGACAGAAAGACAGAAAAAATAAGAAGACTTGTAAAAAAGAAGATAGAAGAAAAAAGATAGTTGAGAGAATTAATTAACCCAGCCGCTCACCAAAGAGACAGTGAACAACTGAGTTGGAAAAACTAGTCGGTCCTCCAGGGAAAGAAAACGACATTTTCATCTTATTCGCCAGGAATAAGTCAATTTCTACCACTAATGAGAGAAAGTGTCCTATTCTCCAGAGAATAAGCAAAATGCGTTTTCCCTAGAGGAGACTTAAAAGACAGAAAAACAGAAAAAATAAGAAGACATAAGTAAAAAAGAAGATAGAAAAAAATAGTTGAGAGAAGCAGTTAACCCAGCCGTTCACCAAAGAGACAGTAAACGTCTGAGTTTAGGGATTAAAAGATTTCTTTCTTTCTGCATAGTAGGCTTGCGAAGCTTACATTTTAATTTGAATAAAAAATATGTAATACTGTATGATTTAATATATTGATAAATAAAATTTTGTTTTTTTATTAAATACCAATTCATTTAAATGACTCCTTTAATTCCTATTTTTAATTATTATTAAGCAAAATAGTCAATAAGAAAAATAATTCGATTCGAAAACAAGGACTCAGACGCAAGCGCTACTACCAGTTGAGTAACAATAAGTATCGTAAAAATAAAATGTACCAATTACTGTGATATTTCAGATATAAGAAAACGTACAATTGAAAGTAATATTTAATTAATAAAATGAAAAAAAATATTTATTGGTTTATTTATTATAATTTAGTATTTTTTGTTTTAAATTTCCAAAATTTAATTTACAATTTTTTTATTTAAATATTGTTATACAACATTATAATTTTATGAAAAATTCTTTTATTAAATTTAGGGGGCGTTAAAGGGTTAAGTTTATAAAATGTTCTACATCTTTAAAAAAATAAAAAGTAAAGATAAAAGTATAAACAAAATCACAGTAATTGATACATTACTAACTACAATGCAAACTAAAACCTACACCAAGATATTCTGTTTCATTAAAAATACGTATTTACTGAAATATTTTTTTTCTTTTAATAGATTATTGAAATTTAAATTTACTTTTAATTTAATTTAGGTACATTTTATTTATTTACAAAAAATTTATATATTTAATAATTTTATTTCTACAAAGTTAGTAGATTAAATTTCTTCTACTTACAACTATTTTTTTAATTAAAAATTTCAATGGAAATATATTTAAATTCATTTAACTTTTAAAATAAAGATTGAAATTTAAAAAAGAATGGTTAACAGATAAATGAAACATTTTCCTGGATGTAGGAAGTAATAGAAAGTTAATTTCAAAGACTTACCCCAAATTATCAGTGAGAAAATGTGTTGCTGTAAAGTTGGCGTTCCTCCTCCTCTTGTGTACAGTTAAAATTATTTTTTCTTTTTAAAACTATTCACTTATTTTTCTAATTTCCTAGCTAGTACAATTTGTTTCAAAATAACTACCTAAATAAATTTCAACACACAAATATACTTTTCACACTCGACGAAAACTAATCTAATACATTTAAAGCTAAACCCTACATGTAGTATGAAGATTTTCCGGCAATTTCGAGGAACGCTTTGGTGAACTATTGAGTCTTCTTTTCCCTTCGGATTTATTACAGATGATTGTTGAACAAAAATATCTCTGTAAAAAAAATACTAAGTCATTCAGGCAAGAAGAAGATATTTAAACAAATAGATAAATTATTAATTATTAAAATTTATTAATATAATACTTAATTATGTATAAACATACATATTTTACGAAATAAATAAATTATATAATAACATATATAAAGTAATAAAAATAAATACAAAAAAATATTTAATTTAAAACAAAGTATTTAGAAATAATGAAATAAACAAAAATTTTTTAAAAAAACATACCTACAAATAACTCATTATTAAAAAATTGTAAACAAAAATATATTTTATAATTATAATTTATAATATTTACAAGTTTAAAAATTTATTAATTATTGTTATTAAATTTTCTACTTATTTAAATTATAATAACTGTTATAATTTTATTTAAAAAAGTATATTCTTTGGTACTTACTAATAAATGGTCAAATGATAAAAATAATTAATTAAATTTACTTTAAATTTACTTTAATTTATTATTTATTAATTAATTTATAAACTTTAACAAGTAACAGAGGTGGAAAAGACAAAGAAAGAAATAGAAAGAGGAATTTTAAATAATAAAATTTGTAGCTGTAAGATTTCTCCTATGAAATCTACTATTAATTTAAATACCTATATTAATTACCTATATTAAATATATCAATTTTCAAAATTTAAAAAAAAATTGTTTAAATATTTAAAGGACTTACTCAGGATTTGTCGAAGACGAATGTAAAATTAAAGAAAAATTTCCTTCTTCGAAAAAGTGTGGCAACGTGGGAAATATAAAAAATTAAAATAATTTAAAATAAAATTTACTTATTCTCTGAAATGATAAAATTTATATTTAACTACCTACTCCTTCGATAGGAGGTAGGAGAACTGTGTCGCAATGGAAAATTCACTCAGGTAGAATGAGGAAACTATCGAAGAATGGAATGAAAGAAAGAATAAAAGGGAAAGGGTTCTCAGTTTTCATTTGGTAATTTCTTTGTCGATGCAGAAGGGATAATTTATAAAAATTTTCAAAAAATATTATGAACTTATTAAGAATAGACAAAATTCATTAACACTTTTTTATTATTACCAGTTTTCGGTTTTTATTGTAACTGTTTTCGTATTTAATTTTATTGTATTTTTTCTAAAATAAATATTTATAAATTATTTTTTCCAATGAATTTTATATTTTTATTCTTTTTGAAATTTCATTTGGTATAAAATAATTTTTCTATTAATAATCAAGGTGCATATATGACATGTTTATATTATAGTATTAACTTTTCTATTTAATTTTCAATTATTTAACTAATTTTTAAACTATTCAGAAATTTTCCTCTAAAATTTTAAAATAAAAAAAATCCATTGTTATTTTATTTCTTAAAATAATTAAATTCACTTACTGATACTCTCAAAAGAAGTGTGATGACAAAGTTGAATTACATTGAAGATATCTTTTTGATGAATGATGAAAATTAAATACCTCTGTAAGTCTTAGAGAACAATCAGCAAAAAGGGAAAAATGGAATCGAGAATGAGACAGAACCCTTAGAATGTTTAAGTCGTCATTGTTATTTGTACTTTACTATTATTGTTGCCTCCTATAAACATTGTAATCAAAAGTCTCCGGATATAATACTTTTTAATAATATAAAACTAATTTCATTAAATATATGATCTTTCCCGCAAATCTCAGACTAAAAATATTTTAGCTACAGTTTTATATATTTCAAATGTTTACTTTTGCATTTATTATGACAGCTTATTTCAGGCTCAGTAATAATGTGAAATATAATGTAATTTTAGTGTAAAATAATTAAATTTTTTTTATAATTTTTTATTTTTTTGTCTTAGATTTCATTTGAAAGTTAACTAAGTAATTCCGTATGCTATTACTAAGTTGGGAGGCCGCTTTGTATTTTCGTCAATACAAAAATGTAAAATATACAAATAGTCAATATCAATCAATAAATGTTAATTATAAGTAACAGTAAAAGGTTCATTTCTTCCTTTTCTTATAATTAAAAAGATATCTCTGTCAAAATACCAAATATAAGAGAGTCAACAGGTATCAGTTTGAAAAAATGACATTCATTTGTGTCAACCGAATTCTTTCTATCTAATTAAGTACCCTTCAGGGTGTGTGATTCACCATAGATGAATCCAATACCCATCGTGGACCCTTCAGGGAGCATTGGTCTCAGGTGACTTCCTTAACGCCGTTTTCAAATATTTTTGTAACAAATGAGATAATTGACACCGTGAACAACAGATTATACCATTACAAAAAGAACGCCAAATTCGTTTGCTTTAAACCAATCTTTAATGTTTACTAAGTTTTCGAACTACTTTGCGATTAGAACAAATTTTTAATTCTTCAACTGTTAATTATTTTTTATTTCTCTCCAACTATGTTCCCATTATTTAATAATTTTTTGAATTTTTTCTCTCGAGGATGTGCTGTAAGAAGAGACGCGTGACCCATATCTGCTTAGAAGCATCGAGCATTCTACTAGTTATTTTTCAACTATTTTTTATTCCTCAGTATTTTTCTTTAATTATATTTTATTTGCCAACTTCATGTATTCAACTATTTGCTCTATTATCTTTTATTTTTAATATTTCCTTGAAGAGATGTGCTATTAGGCGATGGATGGCATTACTCTAACATTGTCCGTATCTACTTTTACCGTCAAGCTCATTAAATACTTCTCTATTTCTTAGTTATTAATTTTTCTTTAATTGCTTTTTATTTGTTAACCTTATGTATTCAACAATCATTTCTTATTTTTACTATTTCCATAAAGGGATGTTCTATTAGGATGTGCCATTTAGCTACTTTGTTCCGTAACTGATTAAAGCTTCAAACTCGTTAAATATTTTTTATTACTTTACCTATTCTTTATTTTTGTTTAAGTAATTTACATTTTTGACCGGTAGCGTTAGAGATGGTTTCTTCAGAACAGATCCACGCTTTGCACAGTGCCAAGGTAGATCTCAACTGCCCAGGCGCTAATATCCTACGACTGACACGTCTAGAAAGCCCGCTGGAGAGATAAGTCTTAACCCATCCACATCCTCCCGATTTGTTTTCTCGGGTCTTAATTCTGATCAATGATCGACTTTCTTAATGTCAATCCTGAATTGAATCTAAATAACTCTGATTTCGAATTATTTTAAAGTGAAATCTGTTGACTCACTTATTTGGTAAAATAGGATAAATTTAAGTTTAATTTTTTTCTTTGTTTATTCATGTTTCAAGTTTATTTGAGCTTTTCATTTCTTGGCAACTTTTAGGTTTAGCACATTTTTGAGATACTTGTATATTTTACAGTAATCACTCCACTGTTTTTAACTACGAAACGAGTTGAGAAATGCTTCGGGACCAACCGTCATTCTTACGGAAAACGTATAAATTTAAGTTGAATTTTTTTTTTGTTTACTCATGTTTCTTAATTTATTAACAAGTTAATTTGAGCTTTTCATTTTTTAGCTAGGTTTTGCATATTTTTGAGATACTTGTATATTTTACAGTAATGTTTACGCTACTTAGCAAAAGTAGTGTCGGACTAACACTCCCATTTTTTTAACAACTACGTAACGAGTTCAGGAAAGGCTTCCGGACCAATCGTCTTTCTTAAGGAAAACGGGAGGCAGAAAACATTGAACTTTTCTCGAGCCAAAACTGATTGATTCTCGCAAATTCGTTTACCGATTGTCATTGATTTTTATAGTCTATTTTAATTGTACCAGAAAATTACCTTTATTTCTGAATAAACTCTTTAGCGTTTTAAATATTTTATAAATTCTTAAACCTTACAGTAAATTATTTAGTTTTTTATACATTTCGTATTTTTATAAATTAAATTAAATTACAGGAATCAAGTGAGTCAAAAGATTCGTCATTAAATTATAATTCATGCTGAGTTCCCTGACTACCAGTTTAACGAGTATATTGGGAATGTTCATAAACTTTGTGTGACTGCTTAATTCATAGCCAGCTAAGGATGTATCAACGGATGTTCATGAGCTTGTGTCACGATCTAATTCCAAACCCCTCGATCTAACCAATTGACTCTTTTTACATCAATCGAATATAAGCTAAAAGTAATCTAATTGTTTTAAGAGAATGCTTATGACTCACTTTCTTCTCATAATATCCTTCAATTACTTTCATGGAAAATACCCTACTAATATTAATCTATTATCATAATAGATTCTAAGCTTGTTATAAGACATTTTTTAGAAACTTTGAATTAAAAATCTCATAGTTGATATTAAATTTATCATTGACAATATTAATTTTTAGGTAATATCACCCTCACACGAACGCTATTAGACAACGTAAATTTGATGAAAAAAATATTAAAATTTTTTTTTAAATTAAATAAATCTAATCATCTTAAAATTACCTGAATTCTAGTAGGGACTGAGCACTGCACAATTCTGAAGAATAGAGAATTTTATTTTAATTGTATTCGAAATAATTGAAATTTTGTGGTGAGTTTTATTATTTATGAAAATAATTGAATTCCTAAAAAGAAGTTTATTATTTTAAAAATCATTAAAAGTTTATAAAAAAATTTTCTTATTTATGAAAATAATTGACTTATTGGGAAGAAATTTATTAAAAATTTGTAAAACTATTCATTACATAATTTAAAAAAATAATTTTAAATTAGTTTTTAAGAAATAAGTTGGTTAAAGAGAAATTATTGTCAGAATTGAAATAAATTGAAGGTTTTTTTATTAGAATTAGTGGTAATTTCATGGTTTATAATGCAAACAAACAACACAGCAAAATTCGTTATCTTCTTATTCTTATTCGTTTTCTTATGAATTGAAAACATTTAATTTTTTCCAGTACTTTTAATAAACATCTATGACAATTTTTTACAATTATTTACAATATTTTTATAGACTTGCTATTAGAATATCTCTTTTAAATTTCAGAATGTATTTTCTTTCTCGTTCCAAAACGAATATCATAAGAATGTCTTCCTTTACCTAATTTGCATATCT